CGAAACAAAGACCTCCAATCTGGGATTGCGCCTCATGGCATGCAGAAACGCAGTTCTCTCCGCTCTGCCCACGGTCTGGACAGCACCCTCCAGGGATCCAAACACCGCACGGACAGGGAGGAGCTCATCGTTGAGCTGAACAATGGCCCACCCTGCGCGCCTAACTTCAGGCACGGCGGGGTGCTGTGCGCTTCCATCCCCGAAAGTAACAGGCCCCCACTCACCCCCAACGTCACCCCACTCCCACACCACCGACGATTCAGGCGGGGATGGAAGCTGGATCGAGAGCCTCTGAAAACCATAACTAAAATATAATCTGTCAAACTCAGGATCGAGCGGGGGGCGGTGTCCACGCGCTCGCAGAGCGTCCCGATGAGAAGCGTGTCGCTCACACAAAACCTCAACACCAGAAGCCTCCTCGCTCTCATCGGGCTGCAGCAAGCTGGGACATTCATGCCACACATGCCCGAAGGATCCATCATCAGACTGACAGGCTGCACAGTGCACCTTCACATCTTTTCCCCATGCAGCAAGGCGGGCAGCAGTGGGGTACCGATCAGCCCACAGTGCCCTCAGCGCTCCAAGCGGCGCCTGCCTCAAGTCACGAAGCCCAAGTCGAAGAGCTCGTTCCCATGCATCATGAGACGCCTCCTGCACAGGCAAGTGATACGCGAGCCGCTGCACCTGCCACCGCTTGATCGATTCTTCAAGAAATACCTTCATGTCGGCTGGCGCCACTTGCAGAAGATCCAAGTCCTCACCTTGGTCACTACGCCAGTGATGAGGTCCAAGGAAAGCCCAGCCAATTCTGTTAAGTGCGAGCCAGGCAGCGCTCAGTGGGCCGCGGACCGCAGCCCAGGTCAGCCCTTTGTCGTGAACACGCTCCGCCAAACACAACCATGCATGTCGAATCGCACTGAGGGGCACACGTGCATCCCAGATAAAGCAATGCAGCCGACACAACAGCGCCGTCGTCGCATCAAAGATCGGATCGCAACGCACCTGCCACTGACAGTACAGATAGGCCGTCTTGTGCGCTCTCGGCGGTGCCCCCACCATGGTAGCAGCGACTGGCCTGGCCAAAACAAGAGCTGAGTCGGTCATGGCCGAGGCGCCTGCACCATGAGCCACAGCTGGTTGTGCTCCTGCCCGCCAGATCACTGAATTCTTACGACCAGCAACTTGGCGAAACATATGGAGACGATGACGTCGCCTCTGGAGATCACGAAGTCGGGCCTTCTCTTGCAACCGAATAGGGCGAATGCTGAAAGTCTCGTGGCCGAGGTTACGCATCCACGGCCGATGTGCAAACTTAGAGCCTCGCAGAATCTGACGAGAAGCCGCCGTCGCGGCAACGAGTCCCGACTTCTTATCATTAAAGCAGGAACCAAGCACTCTCGAGTCCTCCTGAAAAATTCTCACAGCCAAATCAAGCGCCAGTAGGCCCTTTGGGTCAGGCCCAACGTACTGAACCGAAACATCATCAACAAGAGCCCGTGGCACCACTCCAGCGTAGTTGTCACGCAAGCGTAGGATGGCACGTAACGTGAGGCACTCAAGCATGCAGACGGCATGCGTGCATCCAGCCAGAATGCCTTGGTCCACCTGCGCCATGTCGGAAAAGGTGCCGTACCCTTTGAGGCTCCTCGGCTGGGCGTGCATCTTGAGCAACATGTACAGCATCCTCGGCGGATAGCCAAGCAAGCAACCCTCGCGAAACAGTTGCGAAGGCCGTGCCATGTCGAATGCCTTCGTGAGATCCAGTAGGACCGTCGCGCTGAACTGGCCCCTCAGCACAGCCACCTCCGAGTCCAGGTTGTGGCTGAAAGCGCTGTCCGACGAAGTGTAGCGGGACTTGTTGCCCCACACATTGTCCGCGCGATGCTGCTGCTCCCGCTGCCGATGGGGCGCCGCGTCGAGCCCTGCCCCAAATTCGCTGGGAAGTGTGGACCACCGCAATCAGTCGATGTCCCTCGTCAGCCTTGGGGATACGACACATCATCGACCAGAGCCGATCTGCAGGCCATGCGAGCAGTTGCTCGCACCTTGCAAAGAAACTGTCCAGCATCTCAAGCGACTCATCTGACAAGTGCCACAGCAAGCGTGGGTGTAGTGCACAGGGCCCTGTCGATGTTTTCCTAGGGAATGTGGGTATCACCTTCCTCAAGGTGTCAGCGTCCAGCTTCGGAAGACATGGCCACTCTGCGGCCTCAGGAGGAGGCTGGACTGGTAGGCAGCCATGATGAGTCCATACGTCCATCCAAGTCCTCATGTCCCGATTCGCCAGCGCCTGTGGCTGAGCATCTGCAGGGCGTCGTTGAAATGCAACAGTCTGCTCCAGCGGCCGCACCTTGGTGACTCGGTGGGCAATAGAGGCCCCTGACCGAAAGGCCGTGCGCTGGAACTGCATCCAAGCTCGGTAGGATGCACGCTGGTCCTCCTTGCGCAGCCGAGTGGCCTCGTTCCCAGCCAAGCGCAGAAGGTCCTCGAATCCAGGTGCGACCAGAACCTGCAGCCCAGAGCTCAGGAAGGCCTGCACATTCTCAGTCATCTGGTGGAGCACCACTTGGCTGCGCATAATGTTACGAAGAAACCCACCAACTTCACTGAAAGCCTGAAGTAGGACTGCGCACTGGGGCGGGTCAATATCACAAAGAACGTGGGCCATCTGAAGCCTGGTGACAAGCGTACGAAGTCTGTGGCGTTCCTTCTGAATGTGCATAAGCCATCGGAGTACCACCTTCCAGGCCAAGGTCTGAGGGCGCTTGTAGGTGCGCTTGAGGGGCGGCTGCCAGGCGACCTTCCGCCACGTGAAGGAAGTCGCCCCCGCTCGGCCTGAATAGCGCAGCGCAGCAGGGCCCACGTAGTCGTAGCGGTTGGTGAGCTCCCTTTCGACCCCAACCATCAAGTCATCCATACAAGCGGCAAGCCCTTCAGCGTCATCGGCCACCTCGAAGCTGGTGGCCTCCCAGTAGTAAGGGAACCTCGAGCATCCAATAGGGGCCTGTAGTGGTAGTTCCTTGAGCAACTTCGGCACAATCCTCCATAGCGGGTAGTCCTGTCCAAGCACCTGCAGATGCACTGGACAGTGAGGGTATAGAGTCGCCTCTTCATCCACCCGAACATTGGAGTCTACTCGTGCTGCCAAGTTTGAAGAAACCAAAAAGTAATCAAGCACAGCCCCAGGAATGGCCTGCCTACACGTCGGCACCTTTGGGCAGAAGGGTATAGCCGAGGCTGCAGTGGCCCAGCTGGGCGAGAAGAGCTCAGCAGGCTGGTTATTCCAGTCACCACCGATGAGCCAGTCCACACCCTCGCTGTTGAGCCTCGCGATGGCCTTGGCCGTCTCCCACAGGTAGGCCGTGTTGACTGGGCCCATGCCATCCTTCGTGTCGAGGTAGATGCTGCCAGCTGTGAAACCGCCAGGCACACCCCAGTGAACATGCGCAAACAGACATCTTCCAGTGACAACCTCCCTCTCGGCCAAGATAGGGGCAGTGATCATCACGTCCGTGCGAACCAGCATCGCGACACCTGCAGTCGAGCCCGTCGCCGATGCAGTACTCGGCGTCGCGGCAGCCCATATACCATGCCAACCAATATCGCGAGCCTGAGACTGCGCCTGCTGGAGGCGCTCGGGCAGCAAGTGGTGCTCTTGAACTAGCAGCACCTTCACGTCGTCACCAATGCCTGGCATGTACTCGAAGAGGGAGCCATGCGAGCTGACATTGACCGTCACAACCTGACCCCTGAGCGAGTGCATGCTGCGCTTGGCTCTGCCGTCGGCTTGGCGTCGGGCATTCCCAGTCGAAGCCGATAGTAGATTGGGCTCCTCATGACTCGACCCTATGCCACTCAAGGTAGGATGTGAGCATTGGGACCCGTCAGGCCTCTGCGACCCCTCGGCAGGCGCAGAGGGGCGGGCGGTGGCATGAGCCGAAGAGGCCGAAGGGCCCCCCCAAGAGACCCCCCTCCGCTCGGCGTCAGCCTGAGGCGACAAGGGGCCCAGGGCCCCAGAGACAACCCGCCCAGACGCGTTCTGACGGGGCTCGTGGCGACTCGGGCTGGATTCCAGCAAGGCATGTGGCCTGGATCCTATATTAGAGATCCCAGTGCTGGTCGCACACGTCGGTGGTGTCAGGATATCCACCAGCCTGGCCGCTGACCCACTCCAAGAACTGGTAGATGCAGGCGTAAGCATGTCCTGGTAGTCCTGCACTGGGCCAAGTGGTGCAAGCATCCGAGCTGGATGGAGATGTCCTGGACTGGTGCCCCACGTCGTGCAACTGCCCACGCCCTCGCCGTAAGAAATAGGAGTCCAGCAAAACCCTGCGCCCCCACCCCCACACGCTGAGTCCCCCGCCTCCTGTGGAAGGGGTGCCCTGGGGAGTGGTGGACGCAGGCGCGACTGCGAACCTGAGCTGCCAAAGGCAACCCAGGATTTGCGATCTAACGCCTGATGCCCTCCGTCATCAAAATGTGCAGGAACAGTAGCATCTGGCAGCGCACTAGGATCCGCACGTAGGAGCACGCTGCCACCATCTGCCTCAGCAGGTCCTCCAACCGCTCTAGTATCCTGCTCGTATAGCCCGAAGAAATCATCCTGGTCGAAGCCAGGGTCGGCACCCAACTGCTCAAAGTCGTCGCCGAAATCGAAGGTATGTGACTCTGCCGCCATTGCTCCGATAGTAGCAATCAAGTACACAGGTCTAAGCAGCGACCTTGAGCTTCTTGGCCAGCAGCTTCTGGCACGAGTCCAGCTGGCGCTTGGCCTGGGCACGCAGCTCAGTCTCATCAGCGCTAGCCTCCAGCCCAGCATCAGCCACAAAGGTCCGAAGCTCTTCCAGGTCCATGTCTTCAGGTACAGGCATGTCAACATGCTGGAGTCGATCAGGCTGCTCAGCTTGCTGCTGTGGGGTCTCAGGAGGTCGCTGCTGCTGCTGTGGCTGCTGCTGCTGCGCGCGAAGCTGCTCTTGCTGTTCGGTTCGCTGCCTCCGAACCTGCTCAAGCCAAGGCTCCACAAACTGAGCGCAACTGGCAGCCAGCTGCTCGCCGCCGCCAAGGGACTGAACCAGGCTCTGCAGCTGCTCCAGACTGGCCGTGAACGTGTCGAAGACCGCCTGGTCGCTGCCTTCAGGAGCTCGGGTGACCTGCTCAGGTGCACGGAGACGCAGCAGTTCCATCTGCTCCCTCTGCATCTGCACCCGAGCCTTTTCTTTGGTATCCAACTGCTGCTTGAGATCAACCACCAAACTTTGCTTCTCAACAATGGCCTGCTCCTCCGCCTCGATGGTGGCCTTGAGCTTCGCAATCTGCTGATCTGCCTTCTGAATCTTATTGCCAATGTCATGTACCTGCGCACCCAAAGGCTTAGCATCGTGGATCTCCTGCCGCAACTTCCGAAGAGACGTTTGAGCTTCCTCGTAGCCAATGACCGTCTGCGGGGCAACGCCTTTGACCTTGGCCGCCAGCTCGAGGGCGGCCACAACCTGCTCCAGCGCATCCAGCTCCTGCTGCTTGCCCTGCGCGTCGTCCTTAGTGGTGGCTGCATCAGACTGCGGAGGCGATTGCTGCACGTTCTCGGTCGGCCTGGTCCGAGACAGCTGCTGCACCTGCTTCCGAAGGGCCGCCAACTCCTTATCCTTAGCATCCAGCGCCGCCCGTGCATTGCCCCCAGCAGCAGGAGCACGAACACTGGGCGTGGGAGAAGGTAGATCGCACTTGTATACTCGTCCCTGGGCCCCACCACACAGGAAGCAAGAAGCAGCATCTGCATGATTGTGCCAAGGCTCACCCGTTTTCTCATGTGTGCAGTGCCTGCGCACCCATCGCTTGGCCCGTGCTGCCCTGTCTCTCGCCGCAGCACCCTTCGGCGGCGCCATGCAGCCCGCGAGGAACGAGAGACACAAGCCGCGATGGCCGTACCGTAGCCAGGCAGCGCGGCCGTGGCGACAAAACTGATGAGGGAGCCCAACCCCTCGGTGTAGGCGGAAAGCTGTCGAGCGCAAGCGCCCTGGCACTGCCGCGGTCTAGCGGTATCCGTGGAAGCCAATACGGGCCCAGCCCGCAAAAGCATGAGCCTTGAGCCAAAATGGCTACGGAAAGGAGGAGGAGGAGGAAGAGGAGACGGAGGAGGAGGAGGAGGAGGAGGAGGAGGAGGAAGAGGAGGAGGAGGAGGAGGCCTTCTCGGAAGGCGACGGGGCTTCCCAAAAGCCCTCCGGCGAGGTTTTCTGCGTCGTCGGGGAAGGCTCAGAAAACCGATCCGACGGCTCGAGAACTTCCGAGCCTTTGGGAAGGCCCGCCCCTTCTCACTTCCCCTCCGGGCTCGCCGCCGATCTTCGTCTTCGTCGTCGCCTTCGCTTCCATTCTCTGCGCTGGAGCTCCAACCGCATACTTTTCCAACGGGGCCAACGTGTCTCTGAGGCTCCGCTCGTCGCCCGCCGCGCCCTCATCTCCTTCCTGGACGGTGGCCGGCGCCTCGCCCTCATCGGCGGCCGCATTTGCACGAGCACGCCGTCCCGCTCGGCCTTGGACTGCCCCCGCCGTGGGTCGAAGAGAGCAAGACAAACGTTCGGAGCTCCGAGCGGATCTCTCGGATCGGCGCTGGCCCCCCCCCGCCCCCTGGCGCGCGGAGCGCGCCAGGGGCGGCGCCGGAGGGCGCCGTCAGGTGGGCCCAGCGCCGATCCAAGAAATGCACTCGGCGCTCCGAAAGTTTAGATTAATGATGTCCTTGGTATTCCGAAAGGAGGAGGAGGCGGAGTAGGAGGAGGATGAGGAGGCGAAGGAGGACCAGCGTAAACCCAAGACCCAGGAAAGATGTTGGAGTAAACTCTCCTTCTAAGTCCCCTCTTCATAACCCGGCCCCTGCAATGGGCGATACTCACTGAGGGAAGTGCCCCGTTGGGAGGCAACCTTCTGAAAATCCTGAATCGCGTCAACACACAATTCTCGGGACTCCAACGCCACGAATAAATTGGGCTGTCTTGAATCGGGCCAGAAACCATTCCTGGGACTTGTGCCCTGACGGTCCTGAAAAGTTTCTAACCGTCCGCGAAGGGGACCTCTTACGGGGCGGGCGAGAAACAGCAGTTTCTGACGTTCACTTTCTACGACAAAGAGCGGACTAAATCCTTCCGACAATTCTGACGATGACTTCGGTTTCGAATATTAAAAGGTTTTCTTTCCTGTATCGCGGTGGCAGGGAGGAGACGCAACCCAAACTTGGGCATTGTGACACCGTAGAGAAGGATGCAAGTACAAAGGGTCGGCAGCCTGTTATCACAGTGATGTCTACGACGTCGGTGACAGCGGGACGGTGACAATCCAGAATTCGGCATATGATGCATTCGTGTATCACGCAGACCCTTTGGGTCAGCGCGTGTTGCTTGCTACCACAAGCGCTGGTGGACTGGACTGGTCGCGCTTCGACAACAGAGACAAGTTCCAGATGTTTTTGTTGAGCAGCAACGAAGTCACAACGTTGATTGCAGCTTCTCATCCGAGCTCCACAACGGAACGTATGAGAGCGAGAGAGAGAGGGAGAGAGAGAGAGATGGAGGCGTCCCGACGATTGTAAACGTGGAGGAGTTCACTCGAATCATGGTTGCAGACTGCGGGTTCAGCATTTCGACGGCAACGATGATGGCATGGAGGGGGGGCGTCCAAGTTTTTGGAGAAAGACTGCACTTTAACGGTTGTATGAAATGAGAGATGTGTTGTCATTCCCATATTGCTGGGTTGTTTTGTTATGTTTGGATGGTGAGCATCTATATTCCCACAGGGGGCACTACTGGATTTTGGAATCATATATGTATATATATATGATGGAATATCGAATGTGAATCATCGGTGTCAAAGGGGATATCGAGGACCAACGACTGTAGGATGTGATTGGGACGGCCATGTGGGGAGGGACGCAGTCCCAAACGACATACAGCTTGGGGAGCACATGATGCAACGGAGTACTACGGATGGGGGAAAAGCATCCCCGAAGTGGCTAACGAGTGCCAGTTATGTATGCACCGAGTCTTTTTCCAATGCCACGTCGAGGGGAACATGGGGGCACAGAAATGGGCAATGGTATGAACTGGACAACCTATGTTATGGACTAGGGATTGCACAAAGAGGTGTTGGGGATATCTGTGCATGCATGGGGCATATCGGACCATTTCCCCACGCGCATATCATTGGAAAACCCAAATTCGGGCAACACAGCAAAACGCACAGCCAGACGGCACTTTCAAATCCAAAGACAGAGAGAAGCGAGAGAGAGAGAGAGAGAGAGAGAGAGAGAGAGCGATCAAGCACCCGTTAGCTATACATAAATTCAAAGGCCCATCGGCACGAGCAGGGGAGATGAGAGAGCAGTACCAAACGCAGGTGCTAGAGTTATTAGCATTGAAACCCAACTGGTCCCCGACGGAGAGAAGGCGGCCATTCGAAATTGCACCGAGTGAGAATACGAAACGCTATCATATCTTTACGGACGGATCGAGGACCAAAGACTCAGCAGGATTGGGGATTGGAATCATTCAGGCAGAAACTAAAGAATGGACGGACCTCTTTGGTCCAGTGGTTACGATGCGGGGCGAAGAATTACGGTCTATTTTCTTGGGGGTGGAACGCCTCGCAAACGACGCAGGGGGGTTATCGGCTATGATTATGGCGTGCTGGTGGGTATGCGACAATGCGACATCAGAGGATATGGTCACATTGCATTCCGACTCGCAATATGCTGCCTACATGCTGGCAGGGAATTGGCGGGCAAAGAACAACCGGGAGTTGATGGCGACGGGGCGAGCTTTTCTCAGAAAAGTCAGGTCGCGGGGATATTTTTTGCATAGTATATGTCAAAGGCCATTGTGGAGATGCGGACAATGATCGCGCAGGCGCAAATGCGGATGCCGGGGCCGAGCGTGAACAGAAGCTGTGGGGCGCATTATTCGAGGGGGCACAGGCGCGCCCAGGCGTTGGGGCGCAAGTTAGAGCGCAAGGTCCAGCGCCCGCGCACGGACAGCCGATGATATCGGAAGGGGCCCTTGGGTCTGGGTGCCGCGCGCGGGGGGCTGGGCTCGCGTCGCCTGTCGGATCGCGGCCGGCGGGCTGCTCGCAGTCGCCGCGTATGTTTGGGCGCGGTGCGCCCGATGCTGATGCTGAGCTCCAGTTTCGCCCGCCCCCTGGCCCCCCGCCGCCGAGAGTGCGCGCGGGCTACGCCGGCCCGTTCGAGGACCTACAATGCGATGAGAACTTTCTGGACTTGCAGCGCGAAGAGGAGCCAGAGGTAGCAGAGGTGCCCGCGGAGACAACGTTGCCGCGGCCAATTCGTGACCCACACTTGGTAGATAACTGATGCGCAGAGGACGGGGAGATGGAGAGGGAAGTTGCACAGACAAATATGACCTGGACGAGGGCCTCAGAAATTACGGCGAAAGCGGCAGAGAATACTCTTGGAAGAGGAAAGGCAGCAAACCAGCTGGGCGCCCCATATCTATAGGAGGACATGCGCGATATCATCGCCCTACGACAGGAGCGTGTTCGCATGTGGTAGCAGCGGCAGAGGGCTGGGGACTTAGTCGGCGAGCAAAGCTTTTGAGACGCACATGCGCGATTGGGAGAAATTATTTTCGGCCAAAGTATCGCGCGCGCCACAGGTGGGCTAAACCTACTATTGAAGATCTGATGGCCTTCGCGGCGACCCATGATTGGGGTGTTTTTTATAGCGATTTGCGAATGTTGGGGATCCAAGTCCACGACAGACCTCGAGAGGGCCAAGAACAAGTCCGCGGATAACGTGATTGCCCAGTTGGCGAAGATTAGCAGGTTGCCTGGGAAAGTTGAGGGCGCGGTGCTGGAGAGAGGCTTGCCAGCATTGCCGGCAAATTAATGGCTGGGTCTCCTACCGACCAGATATGAAGTACGTTATTATATTTGGGAGATGAAGGACTCGGCTCCTGGAAAGGATGAGGTAGCGATTTCTATGGGACGTGCTGCGGGGGGGGAGATGCTTGATGTTGCCATCGAGTTGGTCCAAGGTCTCTGGGGAACGGGATGTCGGGGTTGGGGGGGGGGGGGGGGGGGGGGGCGGCATGACGGCGCCAGTGGGAGTTTTACTATGGAAAGGAATGGGGTCAAGGTCAGACCCGAACGCGCATCGGCAGATTGTGTTGATCTCTATTAATTTACGTAGCGTTGCTCGTCTGGTTGCGAGAAGGTCGCTGGCCCATGCTGGAGATGGCAATATTTCACCACCGACGCAGTTCGGATTTCGACGACATAGATCGGTAGCAGGTCCTGTTCTTGTGGCGCGGCTATCACTGGAGGCAGCGCAGGGCGTGAATTGCTCGAAGAAGCCAGACTTCGACCCTCTTGCGGCGACATGCGCGGACATTGCGAAGGCTCGCGCGAGGGTGGCGAGGGAAGCGGTCTACAACAATCAAGAAAGATTGGGCATCCCAGAGTCGCTGAATAACGTGATGAAGGGCCTGTATGAGGACGCAAGTTACCGGTTGAAGACGAGAGAGGGATTGCCTGAGCCATATTGTTTGGAAAGAGGCTTCAAGGAAGGGCGCCCATCGGCACGGGGAGCTTTCAATGTACATCGCGCCTCAGCCATGTGCGATTTCAAAAACCAGGCCCAGGAGAAAGGGCGCGAGGGTATTGGATGTGGACTTGTCACGGGCGGAGTTCGACATAGGCGTGGGACCGCGTCGCCCTGGGCCTGTCCGCGATAATATTTTAGAGGAGAAGCCGCTGATCAAACTGTTTGAGATCATGTTCGCAGATGACACACATGTGTTATCGAGGAGGTCTCAGCGTGAAGGGGTCGAACAGCCACTGGAGAAGGTGCTAGGAGAGTGGTCGGAGTCGGTGCGTCCTGATAAGTATGAGAGGCTGAGCGCGGGGCCATATATATATATATATATATATATATATATCACAATAATATTGTGCTGCTGCTCGTTTTTGGGGTCGCGGCTACGCGGCGGCGGCAAACGCTCCACGGGCGCGAAACAGAGATTGCACGAGGCGGGTGTGGCCTGGATACGATTACATGCGCCACTAACTCGTCTACGGCTGGATCGTGAACAATTGGGCGCGCGACCTCGTGCTACGGCACTGGCGCGTTGATTGTTTGGGTCCGAGAGTCGGACTTTTACAAAGTATGAGCTCAAGCAGTACCAAGTGTTTGTGAACAAATGCATGCTTGGTTTGCAACGTCAGGGGGGGGGGGGGGGGGGGGGTCGCGCGACGTCGGACGATCGGAAGACAATCAAGATCTGAGCAAGGCGCTCAGCTTGGACACGATCGAGATATACACTGGCGCCACCTCCACTTCCTGGGCCACCAGAAGAACGGATAGTCCGCGGCAATTTATGGTTACACCCTGAGGAGTAGTTTGTCACGACCAGAAACATTGGGGGAGCGCGACTTCGGATCCGACCGGCATTGTAGACAGGGATAGAGCAGCTCAGGGGGCATACTGATATTCCGCGAGAGCGGTGGCATGAGGAATGGGCTAGTCTTGCAAAGCAGAAAGCCGCCTGGAGCAAGTTGATGAGAAGATGGAGACGCGATGCGGGGAAAGAAGCTTGCCGGGATGAACGGATGCACAGGCGTGCAGGTGACGGGCCACGGGCTGAACTCGAAAGCAAAACACTTCGGTATAATATTGAGCAGGGGCGGATGAAGGTGTCAGAGAGGGGGGGGGGGGGGGTATTTTATGCAAGACTGTGGTGCGTACTGGGCTTGGAAAGGATTCAGGAAGCGTATTATGCATTGAGAGAAGCAGGGCCCTGAGCGTCGACGCACGAGGCAGAAACTGACGGCCCATGTAAAACAACGGGCTGATTTTCGAGAACTACATCATCTACCTGAGCCAGCAATTGGAGAGGATGGGTATTACTGCCCGCCGGTGAGTGGGCTACCGGCTGAATCACCCAGCCGCCATTCACGCCGATTTCGAGGGGGGCAGGCGGCAGTTTCCCAGCCGCAACCGCCGCAGGCAGCGGTGGCGACGGCCACGGCGGCGCCGGCAGGCCCACGTCCCATTTCAGGGCCATTGCTGGTTCCGCAGGCCAGTGGTTCAGCCTCCTCGTCTTCCGCTCCCCCGCCGCCGCCAGATCCTCCGCCGCCGCCGCGAGATTCACCTCCAGGACCTCCCGGCGCTCCTCTCCCACCTCGACCCCGTCCTGCACGACGCCCGCCGCGCGCTGCGCGTTCGGGGGCGCTCGAGCCAGCTCGTCTGATGCCGCCGGGCGGATGGGCAACGCCAGCTGGGAAGGCCCTGCTGGAGTCCTTGATGACCGAGCACCCCATCGCACAGGAGATGCTGGGCGGCAGATGCGGGATGAAAAAACGCAGTCGGTGTGCGAAATGTTTCAGGCGCAGGGGGCATGGGTGTTACATGGGGGGGCAGTGGCAACAGTTGGGGAGTGCTACTCGTTGCAAACAGCGCAGAAACGTCTGGCCCTTCAAGAGAAGCCCCTCGGGGCTATCAGAATGGTTCCAGAAGATGGCCACAAACACTCAGATCACATGTTTCCCTGCCCCAACACAGCCATCAACTATGCCTGCGCACTGACGTCCTTTCTGCAGGGTTGAGTTTGACAGTGATCCAACGGGAAAGCTGAAACAACATGGCCATATACAGAGTTGTTCAACAAATGCAGCATGCTATGTTGTTGACACGAACCAGGATGTTGACGCGCATGCACATCAGAGAGCACCCATGCATGCACTGTGGCACATGTTGGGCAAATGCGCGTGGTCGGGCACGACGTGGAAGAGGATTTCGGGAGCGTCGAATACACCTTGATATACCCTTGGGGAAAAAGCAGCGGCATCGAACGCTGGAAGGGGCACATGACCTTCCAGAGCAGCTTCGTCCGTATATTTATCACACTCCGCTGGAGTGATGGTTGTGATGTATGATTGATTATGCTACATGTGTGTATGGATTGAGAGTCTGACTGGTATGCGTACTTCATGGTGCGTGTGGCTGAAGTTCTAGGGCCAACTCTCGGCGCTCTTCGTGGGGCTCACCTTTAGAATGTACACGTCCAGGAGCTGATGTCGGATTTTGACGCATGCTTGGCGGCAGCTTTGAAGAAGGCAGAGATGGCGCGGGGCTCAGCGTCAGCGACGCAGAAAAAGGGAAACGGACGCGGGTGCCACATCGACGAAGAGATCGAAGGGAGAAGTAGAGGCCGCCTCAGGAGAGATTGGAGTGAATGCAGCGCTGCTGAGAGACTACCTCAAGTCCAAAGCATCGGCGAGGGCGACTCTTGCATCGAAACCGATTGTCGTCTTATCCAAGAGCAACGAACGAGCGAGTGCAATCTCGGCGATGGTGGTCGAGTGGAACTAGCAGAAAACAGGGGTTACGGAGCAGATGAAGCGAGATCGCACGTTCCCAAAGCACCCGCTGGACATGAAGAAGGGTGCTTAGTTTTCTATTTCTGTTCTGGTGTTTATGGGGCCGGTTTTGGAATATCAGGTGAAGAGGCAGCCAGACGACATGAAAGGCAATAACGCAAATGTTGATGTACAGGGTTTAAGGCAAGCCGCGATTGCTATGATGAAAATGTGGATTGGAGAATTACCATCGAGATGCAACAAGCCGAATGAGGACATAACTTGGAAGTCTGTGCTATCGTTTACCGACCTGGCACCGCGGTCGCCGCGTTGTTGTTGTAGACGGACCCGTCAAAGTCAGTTGTGATAGAGTTGGCGAGGAGTTTCCAGACCAAGGGCGAGCAATCGTTGTGGGGGTACGCTGAAGCCCAGACCGAGACGTGGGGGAGGTGGGAGAGGTGGCGGGAGTCAGAAGTGATGTTGCCGTCGGTGCCTGGCCCCAGGACGGAGGCGGGTTTCTCCAGCTCTGGGGCCAGAACGACGGCAGTCCCGAGGAGAGGGGCCTACCGCCCCTGGGAAGTGCTGCGCGGACATGTATGCATCTCTTGGCTATGGCTGGGAGTACTTGGTATCGGATATGAGTTTTAGTGCTGTGGTACTTCCACCTCGGTGAGCTGCCCGCCCTGCCGATCGAGTGCGGCAACAGTTTCGTCGACCTTCAAGATGGCACGAAGTCCCTCATCTATATATTGGGGGCCCGAACTGTGTGCGGCCTTGGCTTCGGCTCTGGTCCGTGGGTGGCTCGGGTTCCTGGGCAGTTTTGGTGTTGACCCGAGGATTTTAGAACTACCTCATCTTATACACGTAGTTTCGAACCGCAGTTGCTGGTACGGTAACCATGAGAATCTATGAAAGTATCACAGCTGTTTTGGGCGAGTGTGCGCGGCGCTTAGGCGAGAACCGCATTTTGATGACGAGCCGCCCTCAATCGGTGAAGCTCTTGTAACTAAAATACGAGTGTGCGCGGCGCCAGGGCGAGAGCCACCTCTTGCAAACGGACCGCCTTCAATTCGCGAAGCGCTCGCGTTTGTTTCAGCCGATTGTGCGCGGCGCTGAGGCAGGAGCCACATGTCGATGAGGAACCGGCCTCGAGCCGTGAAACTCTCGCAGTAACAAACGAACAAATGGCGCCAAGGCGAGAATCACATTTTGAAAACGGCCCGCCCTCCATTCGCGAAGCTCTTGCATGTTTTAAAGACGAGTGTGTGCGGCGCTAAGGCGAGAGCCATGTTTTGAAGACGGCCCGCCCTCCATCAGAGAAGCCGTTGCAACCTTTACAGCCTTAGGGAAGTGATAGGGAAGTCTCAAGCGAATCGCCTGGCCCGCTCTTCCTACTGGCCTCGCTTTGCAAATGGGAGGAGTTGTGTATGATGGAAAGACATGGAAAGGGATATATGAGAGTTTCAGGATGACACACTTGCCATCAACACCCAGCACCGAAGAGGAGGGGGAGCAGGAGGAGGAGGAGGAGAGGAGCAGGATGGGAAGGAAAAGGAGGAGGAGGAGGAGGAGGAGGAGGAGGAGGAGGAGGAGGAGGAGGGGAAGGATGAGGAGAGGATGAGGATGTGAGTTATGATGATGATGGGGATGGGGAGGAGGAGAAGGAGGAGGGGGGGAGGAGGAGAAGCAGAAGGGGGTGGAAGGGAAAGACGACGACGATGCTTATTATGTTTTTTCTTCCCCTGGTGAGGTGATGGGCGGCCTGGACGGCTCTAACCCCGTGCGCTCGGTGGAAAGGTATGACCCCAGGACGAACCAGTGGGAGACCGCGCCGGAGATGTTCAAGCCACGGTGCGCGGCAACAAGCAAGCCTCGGACAAGGGAGGAGCGGGGCGGTGGACATGAGGTGGAGCGAGGAGATGGAGCTAGGGGGAGTAGGAGAAGCGAGGGAGAGGAGTAGGAGGAGGAATATGATGATGATGATGCTGATGATGATGATGATGACGATGATGATGATGATGATGATGAATGATGATGATGATGATGATGATGATGATGATGATGATGATGATGATGGTGGTGGTGATGATGATGATGATGATGGTGATGATGATGATGATGATGATGATGATGATGATGATGACGATGATGGTGATGGTGATGGTGATGGTGATGGTGATGGTGATGGTGATGGTGATGATGAGGAGGAGGAGGAGGAGGAACGAGGAGCGAGGAGCGAGGAGCTAGGAGCGAGGCGGATGAGGAGGCGGAGGAGGAGGAGGAAGAGTCGGAGGAGGAGGAGGAAGAGGAGGAGGAGGAGGAGGAGGATGGGGAGAGGTGGAGGAGGAGGAAAACAGGAGGAGGAGGAGGAGGCGGACGAGGAGGAGGAGGAGGAGGAGGAGGAGGAGGAGAGGGGAGAAGGAGGAGGAGGCGGAGGAGGAGGAGGAAGACCCGTGTAAACCCAAAAGTCACTAACGATGTTGGGATAAACCCTGTTGGGATGTCACTAACGATGGAGGAGTCTCGGGAAGAGGTGGAGAAGCGAGGAATAGGGTGAGGATGAGGATCGGGATGATGTTGAGGATAAGGATGACGACGAGTGGAGTGGAATGGGCGCCACGACAATGTTGTATCCAAAATGCAGAACCTCCTGACCTTGGAGACCCGCTGGGGGACAAGGAACAAGCGGCGCCCAAGCATGAGGAACAACATCCCGAAGACTGCCAGTCATACTTGTGGAGGTCGCAGTGCCCACTTGACTGCAATGCACACCAGCAAATACACGACGAGACGTGACTAATCCCAACGCCGCCTGACATTGGAACAACCGAGTTCAAGAATTATATTTCACCATACTGATTGAACAGACACTATCATGCCCCTCGGGCCTATTCCGCACGGGACGATGACCACCAGAACGTATATTGAAGTAGATGAGACGCGGGCAGTTGTCAGGAGGATGAAACCGCCCCCCCCCACGTGGGAGTCGCAACAACTCGATGTCTCTGCCGTGGCAAATGGGCACCGAATAGGCCTAATGGCACAACCACCTCCCAGACCATCAACGTGCGCTGATCACACCAATGTTAAAAGCACGACGTGGGACTATGAAAGGTACAGCGAATGTTGCAGGCCATCTGACCAAGCACATCGGGAATGCTTGCCCACCTCCTGATCGGCCCAGTGCCACAAGGGACCAACAGCACATGCATAGTAAGTGCGACACACCACCACCTACACCCTGCAATACCCTGCAGATGATGGGTGGCCCAAGTTGGGCGTGGAACAGACACACGAAGTACACTCCCCCCTTGCGGTAGTGGGTGATGCTTGTCTTGAAGCGGAACATGACCAGACCAGGCCCCATCATGGAGGCGGATGGCCGATTGCACCCATCATTGGACGACGAGAACTTGCACCTTGCCTGGCCGCCACAGTGAATTCCACCACTGCTTACTCTACGAAACAGGCATCATCAACGAATGATGCAATTGTGGCAGCGCAAACTGAACTACAACATGTGCGATCCAAGCGAACGGCAGTTCATCGTACGCCAGGCTGCACACACAACACCAGGCATGCATACTATTAGACTTGAGCTCGCCCATTCTTGTCATCCCACGCCCAAAACCCTCCGACAACTGCGAGCAGCAGGATGGACGAGTCTGTGATGGAAACCACTCACGCGCCACGCGAAGGCACTTGGCTTGGCACCCCATAGCTAGCTCGAGCCCAAATTGATACGATGTCTAGGGCAACCCGTGCTTGAGCGAGGAGGAGGAGGAGGAGGAGGAGGAGGGGGAGGAGCGAGGCAGAGGTGGAGGAGGGGCAGGAGCATGAGGAGGAGGAGGAGGAGGAGGAGGAGGAGGGGGAGGGGGGAGCGAGGAGGGAAACGAGGAGCGAGGAGCAGGAGCAAGGAGGAGGAGGAGGAGAAGGACAGGAGGAGGAGGAGGAGGAGGAGGGGGATGATGATGATGCTGATGATGCTGCTGCTGATGATGATGATGATGATGATGATGATGATGCTGCTGCTGATGCTGATGCTGATGCTGATGATGATGATGATGAGGAGGAGGAGGAGGAGGAGGAGGAGGAGATGGAGAAGGAGAAGAAGGAGGAGGAGGAGGAGGGGGAGGAGGAGGAGGAGGAGGAGGAGGAGGAGGAGGAGGAGGAGGAGGAGGAGGAGCGAGGAGGAGCGAGGAGGAGCGTGGAGGAGCAGAGTGAAGATTGATGAATGATCGATGGCTGGATGGATGGATGGACGGACGGACGGACGGATGGATGATGCGGAGGAGGAGGACGAGGACGACGGAGACGGAGGACAGAGACGGAGGAAAGATGAGAAGTAGTGGAGGAGGAGGAGGAGGAGGAGGCGGAGGAGGAGGAGGAGGAGGAGGAGGTGGTGGAGGTACAGGTGGAGAAGGATGATAGGGGGAGGAGGAGTGCCGAGGTACGCGTGCGCGGTGGCCGTGCAGGAGGGGCAGATCATCGTCTTCGGGGGCGAGCTGACGCCAGGACCTGCCACGATGGAGCGCTACGACCCCGGGGCGCGCCGCTGGGAGCTGCTGCCCGCGGCGCGCTCGGCGACCCCGGCGGGCGAAGGGGGCCGCGCGGAGGTCCACGCTCCAGATGTCTCGGGCGGGCTGTGATGCTCACGTCGAGATTAGAAATACAATCCATGCAAATCTACATATGTGTATATATATATAACAGATACCCACATACTTACACACACCGTCTGGACCCTGGCTTCGTGTGTCGCGCTGCCTGTTCTGGTTCACCACGCTTCGGTGCGGCACGCGGTCCACGTCCCGATGTTTTTCCAGCCTCCCGGCTCGCGGCGCAGAGCGACACACGATCCGCCTGCAAGGCTAGCGTGCCGCCGGGGCCGCCGCCGCGACACGCCAAGCGTGTGTTCGTGACCACGTACCGCTGCCGCTACCCCTCCCTCGTTGGCACGGCTGGGTTCGACTCGAAATCAGAACGGACCTCTGGAGAGGTCCGCGGCACAGCGGTATCGGTCCCTCGTTTCGGCGGCGAGCCCAGGGGGGAAGTGAGAAAGTCCTTCTCAGAAGGCTGAGAAGTCAGTCCCTGGGCCTTCTGAGATGTGTTCTGAGCCTTCCCCGAAGGCACAGATGACTTTTCAGAGGGCGCGAGAGCTTCTGAGAAGTCCCGTCGCCTCCGTCCCGACGATCATCCCCAGGGTCTGGCCTTTCGAGGCTCCTCTCTCGGGACCCCAGGGAGCCCTCCACAGAGACAGGAGGGGGAGGCGAGAGGCGGGCCCCGGGGAGGAGGAGGCCTCGGAGGAGGTCGGATTGGTTTTCTGCCGTGCCTGCCTCCGTCGGGCGTCCGAGGCCACGTCGGCCTGGCCGCTGTTGGGGGGGATCACAGGCCGGAAGTCGGTGGCCACGTGTGAACCCCACCCCCCGCACCCCCCGACGATTTCTAGGGGGCGCGGGGGGGTCACTCGGTTCGGGAGCTCCCGAGAGGAGTGAGCCCCCCGCCCCCCCCGTGAAATCGTGGGGGGTGGGGGGTAGGCTTCACATGCGGTCACCCAGGAAGGTTCACTGCCTCGGGATTTTACACAGGTCAGCGTGCCCTCCTCATCGTCCTCCTCGTCCTCCTCCTCCTCCTCCTCGTCCTCCTCGTCCTCCTTCTCGCTCCTTCTCCTCCTTGCTCCTCCTCGTCCTCGCTCCTTCTCCTCCTCCTCCTCCTCCTCCTCCTCCTCCTTCTCCACCTCCTCCTCCACCTCCTCCTCCTGCCCTTTATCCTCCTCCTCGGACTCCTCGTCTCCCCGCGGCCTCCTCGCCTGCCTCCATCAGGGCGGCCGAGGTCGGCCCTCCTGGTCCTCCTCCCGAGCCGCTTCGGCTCGCGCGTCTCACGCAGGGCGCTCAGAGCAGGAGGGAGGCCTCGAGACGGCGCCCCGGAGGCGCGATGGCTACAGCGCGGCCAGTCGTGTCCGTCTACAAGTTCGATGCCCCGGCAGAGAAGGAGGGCGCGACCATCCCGATGCCGTCCGTTCGAAGAAGAAAACGCGCTCTAAGCGTAAGCTTTCGATGCTCCGCGCGGTCTTCGTGGATCTGCGCCTGGGCCCCCCCTGGCGGCGCTGCGCCTCCAGCGCCGCCCCTGGCGCGCTCCGCTCGCCAGGGAGGGGGGTCCTGCGCAGATCCAAGAAGTTCCCGCGGAGCGCCAAGAAGTTTATGTTTATGATGGGCCAAGTTTCCATCATCACTACCACAGGAAGGACGGGGGAGAAGTGAGGATTGGGAGATCCTCTTCCTCCTCCTCCTCCTCCTTCTTGTTTTTGTTTGTTTACCTATGGCAGTGGTGGTGGGAAAATCGGCCCATCAGTTTATTTCGTCTTTCCTTCTTCTGCCCGTGCTGACCTCCCCGCTGCGCCCCGACCTCGTGCGCTACATCCACACCGCCGTCTCCAAGAACAGGCGCCAGGCCTACGCCGTGACGCCCCGGGCCGGCTACGAGACCGCAGCGGAGTCCTGGGGCACCGGGCGCGCCGTTGCCCGCATCCCCCGCGCCCCCGGGGGCGGCACGCACCGCGCTGGGCAGGCCGCGTTCGGCAGTCCTCGTCGTCCTCCTCCTCCTCCTCGCTCCTCCTCCTCCTCCTCCTCCTCCTCCTCCTCCCCTCCTCCTCCTCCTCCTCCTCCTCCTCCTCCTCCTCCTCGTCCTCCTCCCCCTCCTCGCCCTCCTCGCCCTTCTTCCCTCCTCGCCCTCGCAGGCCGCGTTCGGCAACCAGGCGCGAGGCGGCGGCATGTTTTGCCCCACGAAGATCTGGCGCCGGTGGCACCGCCGCGTGAACGTGACCCAGAAGCGCCACGCGGTAGCCACCTGCCTCGCCGCCAGCACCCTGCCGCCGCTGGTGATGGCCCGCGGCCACCGCATCGGCGAGGTCTCGGAGCTGCCACTGGTGGTGTCCAGCGGCGCGGAATCCATCCAGAAGACGAAGCAGGCCGTGGAGCTGCTGAAGTCCGTCGGCTGCGCGGAGGAGCTGCAGCGCGTCATCGATTCCAAGAAGGTGCGCGCCGGCAAGGGCAAGATGCGCAACCGCAGGTACACGATGCGCAAGGGCCCCGTGGTGATCTACGACGAGGACAACGGCATCGTCCGCGCGTTCCGCAACGTCCCCGGCGTGGACACCATGTGCGTGACCCGCATGAACCTCCTGAAGCTGGCGCCTGGGGGCAACTTCGGCCGCTTCGTCATTTGGACGGAAGGCGCCTTCAAGAAGTTGGACGAGGTCTTCGCCACGAAGAAACACTACATTCTGCCGCGCGCCCAGATGGAGAATGCAGACGTGGCGCGCATCATCAACAGCACTGAGGTGCAGTCCATCCTCAAGCCGAAGCTGGAACCCCCCAAGAGGTTCACCGTCAAGAAAAACCCGCTGAAGAACTCCACCATCATGGCGAAACTCAACCCTGGGGTGCTGCACAAGCGTGCGCTCAGGTCGAAGAGCCACGTGAAGGGCACGGCGGAGGGGGACCTGGTGCAGGCCAAGAAGAAAGCACGCCTGGCGGCGGCCAAGACTCACGCCAAGGAAAGCAAGAAGGGCGACTCGACGTATTACAAGACGCTCATGCAGGCCTTCATGGACAAGGCCGCCGAGTCTCAGAAGAAGCCGGAGGAGGACGCCGAGGGCGGCGACGACGAGGAGTGAGGACGCGCGCGCCTGCGGAGGTCGGCCACTCTTCAGTTGATCCTCCTCGTCCTTGTCCTCCGCCTCCTTCCCCTGCTCCTTTCCCTCGGCCTCGGTCTGAATCTCGATTGATCTCCTCTGCCCCTCATCTCTAGGCCTCCCAGATGGGGTCAGAGCAGATGGGCTCGGAGGATCGCGCCGCATTATGGATGCATCGGCGATGCAGCTCGATGTGGAGCCTGTTTGTCTCCACGTCGTCGTCGCCGATGCGTCGCCGACGTCGGCGATGCATCGTCGATGCATCGTCGATGCATCGTCGATGCATCGCCGATGTATCGTCAATGCTCCGCGATCCTCAGACCCCATCTACTCACCCCCATCTGGGAGACCTCTATCATCTCGGCTGTTGCAGAGGCGATCTCATCAGCCGCGCGTACGTGTAAGTGGCAGACATGCGCCGAGCCTCGCCGCCGAAGCCAGCTGTGTGGTGCGGCCCCCTTTGCTTGGCTGCTCCTCCCCCCTGGTCCAGCTCCCCCGCCTTGCGAGGACATTGGAGATGTACAGTGAAGGCCCATGCCAGTAAACACCCTGCTTGCCTCCAGGGTGCCCTGGGTTTCTTGGGTTTCAGTGGTTTTGCTATGGATCGCGTGACGATCCCACGCCAAAAATCGAGGGACGTCCTGGGGTCTCAGGGTTGGGTTTCTTGTGGACAGTTTCTTATGGAGGGGCCCCTACTGTACACTCGACATGGCCAGCCTGGGTTTGCTGGCCCTCCGCGCATGCCTCCAGTGAGTAACATCCGCAATTTCCGCATGCGAACTGTTCGCGCTTCGCACATCTTCACCAGGCCAACCAGAACCAATTTTCGTGCGAGTTGTCTTGACCAGGGAAGCGCGGGATACTGCAACGGAGCGGCGAGGGGGCATCCGTCAAGCCGAAGAAGCTCTTTGATCAAATTCAGGAGTCGATCAGAAAGACCTTCACGGATCTCCCGATCTGGGAACCTCTTGAAGACCTTTGGGGCCATGTTGGAAGTCTTTGGGGCTCTCTTGGGCCTCTCCCTCCCACAGGCCCTGGGGGCTCTTTCGGGGCTACCCGGCACCGGTCGAAAAAGAGACGGCGCCGATGAGCATCCCCCTTCTGGGGCCCAGCAATCACATCTTGGAGCCCTCTTGGGCCGCTCTTGGGAGGTCTTGTTGCCGTCTTGGGGCCTTCATGGGCCCCTTGTGGGGGCTCTCTCGGGCGGTGTTGGAGCCACGCTGAGGCCCCAGAAGCCCGTCAGAACCGGAGGGGTGAAAAGGCGAACATCACAGACACCATATGTCTTTGAATGAGCTTAGCTTTCGTGGGCGTCCTTGGCAGGCTCCGTGGCCACTTGAAGCCTTAGCGGGGACCCCTGGAGTGCATCTTGAGCCAATTTTGCACACCTTGGGCCGTCTTGGAGGCCATCTTAGGACATTTGGGGCCAACCCGGGGTCATCTTGGCCGAAAAGCTGCCCCAAGTATGCTCCCGAAATGCCAGACTCATTCAAACGCGTAATGCTTGCCCAGTGGTACACTCGGACCGAGGTATGAGATCGAGGTCGGTTCGGGGAGAATGTCCTCTTGTTCTTCGTGCTTGTTGGATGTTCTCGTGCACCCTGGGGAGGGTTCCCTAGGATGTTCTGTGTGTTTTGGCCGGCGGCGAGTCTCATGTTCTTGAAGGATGTTCTTCTGTCTTAGGTCCGATTGGATTGGAGCCGTTCTGAGGCCTCAGAGGCCAATCGGAACCGAACAGGCGGAAAGGCAACATAAACCGTTGAAGCACGTAATGTTCGTTGAAGGATTTCGGCTTCTCGGGGATCTTCTTGGCAGGTGTTGTGCTCACTTTTGGGAGCCTTCTTGGGGCGGTCTTCTCGCCTCCTGGAGGCATGCTGGATGTTAGATGTC